GTGTTCGTTGACTTCACAAAAGTACAACGACTAAAACGTTGTGAATATAGCAATGAAGATGAGGATAATGTAAATAATGCAAGTAATGTTTATTATTGATATTATTTATTGTTGATATGCTTGTATAATCAATACAATATCTTTTGTGGACACGTTTTGTTTTTATTTACATTTGCCTCCGCCTGTATATTTTCCGAATGTTTGTGATGAAAGCTTTTCAACCATACTCTTGATCAATTTCAACATCCGATTTAATATAGATTTGCCTTTCTCGATTCCAATTTTAAATCTCGAAATTGACCGTTATAGTTTACTAAGATCTTGCCCTGCATGTAACTGGAAAGCAATATACTTTATTGTATAACCAGCTGTTGAATATATTTCAAACTGTAGTTGAAAAGCCCCCCCCCCGCTTCACATCACCAATATTTACACGCTATTTATAAACATTGAAACGAAACATAAATAGAATCGCTTCTATATAAACAAGAAAGATTTAACGAAATTAAAATACAATTCAGGTCTGTCGTTTTTACTGAAACATATATCAGTTAAAATCTGCTGTCGAAATGCACATTACTACACACAAACACGTTTACAAATATGCGCGTGCGTATTTGTGTAGCATTTCTACGTGTGCTTTCTTTCGTAACATTTTTTTTGGTGGGGGGGAGAGAGAGAGAGAGAGAGAGTTATCATGCAGTGTATATATAAAACATTTCTTGATCTATTATCTCTTGTGATAAAAGCGGATTTTGCACAGAGAAGATCTTGACAATGGTTAAATGCACGTGAGAAGCGAAAATCTGATGCTGAAAAGGTACTTACATCCCCGAGAGCTTCCTTTAAAATAGCCGAACAATTAATGCATATAGGTATGTCAATCTGCTCCAAGTGTTGAATTCCAACATTATATATATATATATATATATATATATATACGTGTGTGTGTGTGTGTGTGTGTGTGTGTGTGTGTGTGTGTGTGTGTGTGTGTGTGTGTGTTTGAAACATTCAATTCCAAACGCCAAAACGTCTTCCCTTTTGACAAAAGAAAAGCGGGATATTTTGATGCATGATCACATTCGCTATGAGATTGTAAAAATAAAATATCTAAATTTGAGTTAGCTATAGATGAAAACTTTTATTACCCCGTAACACGTCTCTCGGCCTCTTTTCTGTGAATAACCTGAAAGAAATGGCCTCGTTTCTCTGAATAACCTGATAGAAATGGTGCAATAAAAAACGTGGATCCTTCAAAAGAAAGTTTCAATTTTCCAAATCAAAATGCCAGCACTTCCGTTTCAAACTAATTTAGCTGATGATGAATCAATTGAAAGGGAAGAATTCATTTTAGTCTTCTTATTCCTTTGATTGTCTCTTCTTTGGGTTACCAGATTTTCAGCAAGACATTGTCGAATTAGGATCAAACGGAAAAAATGCTCTCACATTAATAAATACTAAACACTTTAAACACCTCGATTTATGGATCAGTTATAAGAAATTTAATATTAGAAATAAAGTGACTGAACACAGAATATACTGCATAAGGAATAGATTTATTCCAACGTCTCAAGATTCTACAAAACCAAAGTATTCAACTAAGAACACGAATAATCTCCTTAAAGAGCCTCATTTGATCTAGACTTTCAGATTTCTGTCAGGCATGGTGTCCAACTCGCACGGAAATGTCTAAACTCTGAGCTACGAGGGTTAATTCAAAATTTATCCCCACTTTCGCCCTAACACATCTTTAGGCTTGTCACAGTGCCGTCTGCTCATGCGTGCTTATAGTTGTTATTATTGTGATCACGTGATCGAAGGTTGAGCTTGATCACGCCAGTTTTCTTGCTGCTGCTACAATGTAAACATGGCCGCTCCGCTAGCAGTGTGCACCAAGGAGGAACTAAGAAAGTGATCCGACTTCTTTGGTCAAAAGGTTGTGCCAGAGGCTGAAATTTCCCGAAAGCACAATACGGCGACAGTGCCCTGTCGAGTAAAAGTGTGATTGAGTGGCCGCACAAGCGTGACGCACGAAGAAAGAACAGGATGCCCGTCAACCTGCACCAGGGACGAGAAGATTCAGCAAGGTCGATAGATGATAATGGCGTACCAGCGAGTTATCATCGATGAGGGAGCATCTTCTCTGCAAATTCGGATCACTGCATTTTGTATTATAGATATGTCATTGAGGAAGTACGAATAAATTTTTACTTACCGTCGTATCTAGCTCATCCTATTCACTATCTATCTATCTATCTATCTATCTATCTATCTGAGTCTGTTCATTATCTATCTATCTATCTATCTTTCTGAGATGAGGTATTATGTACACTATTTACATTATTCGGACTGTTGTCCTCATCTTTGTTGCCATATTCATCACAACATTTCAGCCATTGTACGCTCCGGCCTTCTTCAGGTCGTTGGAATGTCGAACTGAACCCTTCATTTCGCTCACTGGGGTAGACTGTTCTAGTTCCACGTGCCATGTCTAATGGGTATCAGTTATCTCCTGTTAATTCCTCTCTTCAAGTTCTCCACTGCCTTAACCATGTATTGAACTAACAACTTTCGGGTCCTGTCATTGGATCTAACTAACGCCTTTATC